TGTGGGGTGGGGCTGTGATTTTACTTTCTGTCTGTCTCTCTCTGTCTTTCTGTTGAGCGCATGTGCCCAACAGCAAAAACCTCTCAAAAAAAGAAAAGAATAAAACTAAAATCTTAGTAATATGTAAGCACCAAAGGCTTGCCCTCTTTTACTTCCCTCTCTGCCCTGAAACACGCAGAACAGTAATTCTGGCTAAGTTTATCTGTTCTGATAACTGAAATTTTTCTCTCAGCTGGACTGAATTTTATGTTCTGGGGAAAGAAATAAGGATAAAAGGAGTTAGGAAGTACTAGTAATCATTTCTGGTCTCCCACCTACCTTGATACCCTCAGTCAACTCATCAGTAACAAAGCTAATATTTGCAAATTCCTAAGTGTCTGTTTACAAATTCAGGAGAGAACTGGAAGAGCTATTATTGAACACCTAAAACCTCTATATCCATTATAATGCTCTTTAATTCATTTGTCTTTATTCCAGTTACTCTACCAGAGATGAATAGAGTTAAATAAAGAAAGGAATAGCTGAATACTAAACAATTCAAGTAAAACTGTAAGTGCTAAAAAAGATTAACAGGCCCTCCTATATATTCTTATGCTTATTACAAAAGCACTAGATCTTTCCTTCTTGTTTTCCTCTTCTTCCAATGACAGTTTATATCTACTACTAAAGCCCCCTTTTATTGGTAACCCTCAATAAGGAAGCTGAACAAAGAAAATAATGAACTCTATTTACAGCCCTGTATTTGAATATTGAAATCAGGTAAAGTGCCACAGTGAAATCAAGTACAAAATTTTATAGCCATGGAATTAAAATGTTAAAAAAAAGACCATTCAAATTGAAAAAAGTCCTAAAAGGCAGGTAATGGTACTCCAGTGGCTTGTACTAAACATAATCGGTTTTTCTTTGTCCAAAATGGACTTTGATAGAAGAGAAAATTTATGTATTTAATGGTTATCTCAAACAATTTTTTTCCCAAGAATATTGAATTCTTTTCACTTGCTTAAACATCAGAATTTGCTTTAAGATAGTATGATCAAAGAGCACTTAGGATAAAATACAGCTTACATGGTTTTCTAAGACAGCAATAATTTATTGCAAACTGGTAGTTCCTATTTATTAAATGCTTACAACATGGTGTTGGGGATGGGCTGAAGACCTTCAACTAAGGCAGGTTTCCATGAGACAATGCAAAAATGAAGAAAGACCGAATTCTACTCAGCTCTGTGGCTTTGAGTAAAAGTTACTCAATGAGGCAAGGGCTGAGGGAAGGTGAAGAGTAATCTTGTTCCTCATGAAGTTGGTAAGTATTTTTAATGCAGTGTCCACTTATTGCTTCAAATTGTGCCTTTTTCTGAGGAGAAAGTCTAGCTTTCCTTGGCTTCACAAGGTATATATGACACCAAGGTTCATCATCATTGGATTAGAAGGTAATGTTGTCCAATCCAGACATTAACAGAAAAGTGACAAGCAAGACCTTTCAGGTGCTAACAAAGCAGAAACAGCAAAGACTGTTGTTCGATGGATGGATGAGTGCATTTCTTCCCCATTTATAAGTAGCCCAAAAATTAAAAGAAATCACAACAGATATTCACAAATATTTTAAGCTGACTGATACTACTTCAATGTTATACAACTTCAGATCACATAGACAGATCGGTTAAGAGTAATCAATAATATTTTGTATCTTTGTAGATCATTATATAATAATACTTTCACAGTCATTTTTCTTCCTTTTTAGAAAGAAACAATACATATAGTATCCCACTTCACAGATGAGAAAACAGTTAAGAGGGTTATTGACAAAAACAAACAATTCCTAACCTGCCAGTTTCCTGACTTGTAGGCCAATAATCTTCCCAGAGTTAACAAGCAGTATGGCTCCCTTTCTGGGATTTACACTTGTAAACCAGGCAGAAGGAAGCAAAAGCCAATTTTTTAGCTCCACAGCGTTTCAACTCTGGAATGCTTATATGTGTTTACCGTCCCAAAGTTCATCATTCAAAATGGGTGAAATGAGACAAATGGGGGGGTGCTTTTAGGCTTAACACATCTCTCCACCTAAGGATTAAAAGAGAGATCATACACTGGGGACCCTCCAGAATGAACTATCTCAATTTTCTGAGTAAGTACATTGAGTTAATCCAGGCAGCAGTGAGAAAAAGAACTTAAGGTTGAAGAAACCAGATTTTTAATCCCCCATTTCCTAGTCTTTCATGTGGATGGACATCAACACTTTGTGGATGCACAGATTCACCAAGCACGAAGAAAAGTAACTCCGACCCCATCATCAATTAAACCATCAAGGCTTTCTGAAACTCTTCCCTGAAAATGATTTAGTATGTATATATTTGTTCATTACTAAGGGTAGGCAGGAGAAATGGGAGAACCGAAAACGTGAGTAAAAAGGCCTTAGCAGGAACTGCAGAACCCAGAGCGATAAAGTGAAATGAATGACCGGGAGTTAATTGACAGCACAAGGCAGCCAATCCGTTACCTAGAGATGGACTCGGGAGCTGGGCGGGACTAACGTTTCCGAGGACAGGCGGCCCACACCACGCTGGCAGGGCGGGGACCACGCCTACCCTCCGTTGTACCCCACGCCACCGTCCCCCACCCCCACCTCCAGCCTTGCTCACCGGGAGGGGATTATTTAAGTGATTACCGTACCTACTGGGTTCCCGGGTCTCCAGGTTCCTCTTGCAAAACCTCCCTCCGCCCAGCCTGCCCAAGTGCCGCTCCCAGGGGCGGTACGATTGTCTCCTAAACGCTTTGGGGACTCGCTAAAGGAGGTGCACCCATTTTGTGTCCCGGATCCCTAGCTTCCCCGCAGATTCTCCCTAGCCGCCTCGCCCTCGAGGGACACACACACACACACCTCAGCTCAGCCAAGGCAAGGGCCGACAAACTTCGCGTCCGGCTGGAAATGTTGCTGTCCACGGTCCTGTCACTCAGAGGCAGGGGCGGGACGAGGCAACCGCACAACCTTACACCCAAAGGGCGGCAAAGGAGAGGGGCGGGGCTCCGCGGGCCGGGGCGGAACCTGTTCCCATCCTGCACTCCGATTGGTTAGTCTGTCTCCCGCCTCTGCGCGAGTCCCGGTGCAGACGCACGCGCGCCGATGCCTCTTCCCTTTTACGTGAGTCCCAAGCTTTATTATCTACTTCACGCAGTGACTCCAGAAATTAAAAATAAGGACTTCAGCGTGCTTTAGAAATGTAATGCGCAAATACGTTATTTTGATTATTGAACACTTCCCAATTAACAGGTACACACACCCCCTCAAGTAACACTCTCCAGGGAGCATCCCTAAATGAAAGTATGAACTGTCTTTGAAAACAATGTATTCATTGCCAGTTAAAGCAGAGAACAACAACAAAACAACTTTTTATGTAAATTTTAACTTTTTACAGTTGAATCTGTTTAAGGAAGGTGGTTAATGACGCATGACCAACAGGTAAGGTTTGAGGGGGCTATATGCTTAGGTACTCGGTTTTCACATCTACAACTCGAGAATGAAATATAAAGATGTTATCTATTATTTGTAAAGCATTTACCAATTAACATATTCATGCAATCCTTACAAAACACACTGAGAGATATTATTTACAGAAACTGAAACAAGTATAAATAAACTAACTGGGTTTTCTGAAATCTTCCAGTATATCACAGCCAGGAACTGTGTGTCACACACATATATACACAGGCGCGCGCGCGCACACACACACACACACACACACACACACATACACATATAGTGCTTTTTTGGTAACATGCCAATCGATCATCTATATATAAAGAAGGTTTTTCTTTCTTTCTAGTTTTTGTTGTGGGGCACCTGTACTTGCCAGAGAGAAAGAAAGTAAGAAACTACCCCCCAGGGGCTTGGCAACACCAAAATCCCTTTTCCATTTTCCATACTCTGTTTTTCAAGTCACAGGGTCTGGGACTAACCATGAAGCTGGTCATGTGGGATCCATTCACTTTAACCACCCACCTACCACTAGCTGGCCCTCAAAATGTAATTTTATTTTCTGTCCTAAGTTATTTACTGGTCTCTAATTCTCCCAGAAATAAAGGTATGGTTAAATGAGATTATATTAACTGGATATTTCTTGTGTGTGACTTTAAAACAGTGGAAAAACCTTCTATATTAAACCAAAACCCAGAAATGTCTATCTTGGTGGATAGGGTAGTAGTAAGAGGAAAAACAAACCAAAATATGCCTCTGGGCAAGGCTATAAGTTTCAGTTAAAATGACCACCATATCATGATAAAAATTGCTGGAATAAAAGAAACACATCCTAATTGTAAATTATTTTAATTTCTTGTCCTACTAAATTTCCTATTTCTTCTAGAGCGCGCGCGCACACACACACACACACACACACACACATACACATATAGTGCTTTTTTTGGTAAAATGCCAATCGATCATCTATATATAAAGAGGGTTTTTCTTTCTTTCTAGTTTTTGTTGTGGGGCACCTGTACTTGCCAGAGAGAAAGAAAGTAAGAAACTACCCCCCAGGGGCTTGGCAACACCAAAATCCCTTTTCCATTTTCCATACTCTGTTTTTCAAGTCACAGGGTCTGGGACTAACCATGAAGCTGGTCATGTGGGATCCATTCACTTTAACCACCCACCTACCACTAGCTGGCCCTCAAAATGTAATTTTATTTTCTGTCCTAAGTTATTTACTGGTCTCTAATTCTCCCAGAAATAAAGGTATGGTTAAATGAGATTATATTAACTGGATATTTCTTGTGTGTGACTTTAAAACAGTGGAAAAACCTTCTATATTAAACCAAAACCCAGAAATGTCTATCTTGGTGGATAGGGTAGTAGTAAGAGGAAAAACAAACCAAAATATGCCTCTGGGCAAGGCTATAAGTTTCAGTTAAAATGACCACCATATCATGATAAAAATTGCTGGAATAAAAGAAACACATCCTAATTGTAAATTATTTTAATTTCTTGTCCTACTAAATTTCCTATTTCTTCTAGAAGCTTGCTAGCTATGAATAGCTCACTGTAAAACTTTCTTGATTTCTATGACTCATGCTCCCCATTAAGTTTCTTTAATCTTTTAACAATATTTGATTTTAGACTAAAAAGAAAGACTTATGATTGTATATTAATAAGTACATTATATAAATACTATAAGAGTTAAATAAAAATGAATGCATTTGAGTTCTTTTTCAATTGCATATTCAAATAAGTACAGCAACTGCATTTGTTTGAGTATTCTTATATATATCAGATATTACACATTTAAATAAATGTATTGTATGCATGTAAATGTGTCATCATTGAAATAAACACAGCTGTACATTCCCCATATTTATAGCTCCAGATGTTGGAAGCATACATTCAAATTTCTGGAACTCTACACCTTGGCAACCAGTTAAACATTCTTTAGAAAATAATTTGCTTCATATGTAGAGAAATAAAGTTTAAAACCATGCCCACAGGAAATAAGGTTAGAAAATGAATGAGGAAATAAAGTTAGAAAATGAATGAGTCTCTACCACGAAATTTAGCATGAATATATCCTTATAAGATAAGCTTGTCCTACTAGCTAGTTAGTTGTTCTACAAGCAGTTCCAGGAAAAAGTCCATAGCTGACTTGCCTTCACTGTTGCAAACTTTTGCAAGTTTTTGTAAATAATTAATCTCCAAAAATATAATGTTTCCAATTAACTTTTAATATGATTCACTTCAGTGGTGGGAAGGTCTCATGCTACTCACACTTCAGTTATTTATTTTTACCTCATGCTTATGTTCCAAAACTCCTAACACGTATAATCTGAAATTACCCCATAGGCGCAAATGTATCTGAAAAAATTATGAAGAGCAAATTCTTACCCAAAAAATACATATATATTAGGTCATTGGGAAAGTCACGATGTATTTTTCTATAGTTTCTATGCAAAAATGCGTCATGACTTTCCCAGCAACCTAATATATAAAGAAAATAACTTAATCTAAAATATCCAGATGTATATTATGAATATGCTTATTTCATTACTCTGTAATAACACTTGTTCTTTGGTTATATTCAAGGTTAAGTTGAAATATAAACTGGAATCTAATAATTATACGTGTTAACACCCTTAGCTTAGATGAATATGCATATTACTTGAATTTAGAGAAATCAGTTCAAATCATAATGATAAAACTCAAAAATATCTTAACAAAATTATAATTCTGTTAAAAATATGAAGTCTATTGAATATATTAAAATGAAAACTATAACATCAAATTACTTCATCTTGTTCAGCAGTTCTTTGACTAAAATCTTAAAATTTGAGTTACTCAATGTAGCTCACTAAGTAGTTTGAAGTGATTGTTTAATAGGTAAACCATACATATTGCTATTTCTGTTCAGTCATCCTACAACAATATCAGGAAGGATGAATTTTGTTTAACATTTAAAGAAATTATTTTTCCTGTGAAATCATTTAAGAAAATTCCTGTGATCCCCAAAATCTATGTTTGAAGTCTTGGTTTTAACTTACAGTACTATACATACATATATATAATATATAATACATAAATATATATATGTTATATATATATATATAAAATATATATTTAAGCAAGCTGATTTATTTCTTTCATAAATGAGAGTAACAAACAAAGACATAGATAGACAGGGAATATGGTGCCCCAACAGGTACCTAATTTGGAAATCACCCCCAGCTTCAGCAAGCTCCAGATCATGGGAGTGCCCAATGTGTTTAGAGAGGTGTCTGGATATAAACCTGGAAAGTTCCCATGGGGGTCAGCTTTGGAGAGCATTGTGTTACTGCTGCACCTGTGCCCAGCCCCACTTATAATACAGTGTTTTAACCACTTAACAAAAACTGAAAAATGGAGGCCGGCTGCATACAGTAGTAACATAGCACTCTGCAATGTTGAAGCCACATGGGGAGGTCCTAGGTTTGCATCCCAAGGTCTCCCTATATGTGCAGAGCATATGCATGGATGTGCCCATGACACTGACTGTCTGAATATGGGGGTGATTATGGCATGAAGATCCTGTGGGGATGTTTCTCATTTCTCTCTCTATTTCTCTCTCTCATGGAAGAAATAAACCTTTGTAAAAAACTGGAAATGTGTATTATTTTCTTAAAGAAACACATCCTTTTCAAAACTCAGAAAACCATAAGCATATTTTTATTGAGTTTGTAGAATATTGGAAATTATAGTTACATCACATGTATATAGAATGAACTCCATGGAAGGAATGGACCTATGTTAGTGAAAACATATTTTAATGCTGGTCTCCTTTTTGAATAATTGAATGCAAGATTGTCTCTGAAATCTAAAGTAATAATTATTTTGCAAAATTTATTTCAAATCATATGCAAATATATAAAAAATGTAAGTGTAAGGAAAAGTGTAAGTGGAAGAAAATAGTCACATATGGAAAATATTCTGAGGATATAATTTCAAGCATGTGGCTGCCAGCTATTTCTTTAACAGATGACATATATATAAAAGGTATATCTTATATCCAGTTGAAAATGTTTACATTGACTATTTTTTAGTTTGTTTAGTATCTGTCAATGACTCTAACACATTTCTGAAATCATGATGCAGCTTACAAATAATTCACAGCATTTTCCCTCTTTTTTGTGTACACATAATAATGAATTTCAAAGGTACATCTTAATGTCTAGGTAGCAACTCAGTGATACAAACTGCTTTAAATTTGTGCCTCTTCTATTTCAAAGGAAGGTTTCCACATTCCTTACATGAGAGAAAAAGAAAAACTGCGGGAACTCATGAAAGAGTTTTTACTTTCACAAGGAAGAATCAAGGCACATCATCTGAAATAGCTCCGTATTGTTAAGTGTTAGAATTATATCAATTTAAAATTACAGTGCATTGCCACAATGTTCTCTCTATGCTTCTCTTTTATATATACCCCAGTTTCCCCCAGCTTCAGTTTTCCAGAGCCTTCTTGC